TGTGTGTGTGTGTGTGTGTGTGTGTGTGTGTGTGTGTGTGTGTGTGTGTATGTATGTGTGTCTTGGCAGCTGCACAAAACACAAAATGTACATAGATCCTCAAAGGCTGAGAATATTATCAGAGGTGCTGAGAACAAAGTCAGAACCCTGGCAGCCCTGACAAGTTACAGTCTTTGTTAGGCAAAGTAAAGAGACATTTAATAACAAAAAACAGAAAAATGAGATCTATTCAGTGAGGCCACACTGGGTGTTATATGAATAGCGTCTACAACTACTTGGTATGATAGCCCTCAATTGAGCATTCAGTGGGTTGCTTTTGCCTTACTTTAAATTGGATGCCTCTAAGGACAACAAGAATCTCAGTATTTGTAGCACTCTGTAGGACTTGCATATTCAGTGAGTTTGAATATGGGGTGAACATTGGCCAATATCTTACTATATCCTGTAGAGTATTGCTCTTCTATTTTCATTAGGACAGTACTGATACACATGACGTACACTGCATAGTAGCTCTGTCAATCTTTGCAACAGTGCCTTGCAGTTGAATGAGTAGTATCTGCATTTTATGAATGAAGAACTTGGGCCACAGCCAGGCTAAAGTGTGTTATGGTTTCAATCTGGAATAGTTCCCCAGAAGCTCAAACATTAAAGGCTTAGACCGAATCCAGTGATATTTAGAGATGGGATCCTTGGTGGTAATGGGCTCATTAAGGCTCTGATCTTATTGGTAGGTTAACCTATTGATTGGCTCACACCTTAATAGGTATTGAGAGGTGGTGGAAAATTTAGGAGGTGAAGTCTAGTTGGAGGAGCTGTGTCTTTGAAGATTGTATTTTGTCCCTGGTGTCTTACTTCCTCTCTTCCCTTCTTCTTTGCTCCATCTCAGTGTCTCCTGGCCTTGTGGCAAGCACCTCTCCTGCCTGTGTTCCTCCATAGAGATGTTCTGCTTATGATAGGCTCAAAAGTTGCTAAGCCAAATAAGCACAGACTGAGCCCTCTGAAACAGTAAGCCAAAAGGAGCTGCCCTGCCATTGGTTTTCTTAGGCCCTTCTTGACAAGGAAAACTGACACAATGTTGTTTACTGAAGGCTGCACATGTTAATAATAGAGCCCAAGTTCAAACACAGGCTTGTTGGCTCTAGAGTCTACAACCTTGTTTCTACTAAGCTGTGCTCCCCAGTTCCTTTGTCAGTCCATTTATCAGAGGTAAGAAAAGCTCATGACGCTTGGTAAAAGTCACTCTCATTGCAGCTCATTGGTACTATTTTTAATGTCTCACATGTTCACAGGGTTTTGAAAGACTTCATTCTTACATGAGATATAGCCCCAGGGGTAGAATGAATAGGGGAACAAGCATGACTGCCGTATACATCAAGTGAATGACTTCTCACTAAATCCCACTGAGTCCTGAGAACTCCTCACCACAGCATGCTACCAGCACGTTCTACAGGATGTTCTGCCTTCTGTTCCCTGCTCCGAGACCTCTTATTGCTGCACCAGAAGGCAGAAGCAAAGTCCATCATGAGATCCTCCCACAGGCCTGCGCTGCAAATTAGGATGTTTCCTTTGCAATTTCAGACTTTATCTGTGGATTTTCCATTTGTGAGTTTTCATCTCCCTTTGCAACAGCGTGGTCCATTTTCTTTCTATTTTGCCACGCCGAGGAGACGTGGAATCCAAAGGGGAAAATATCTTTCCATATTACATCCTAAGGAGTCTTGCCAGAGTCTGTCTTGAGGTTGCTGGATGGAGGCCCAATCCTGTTCTCAGAAGCCACGTCCACAATGACCATCTACAGATCAGGAGCCAGTGTGTGGCCCCAGCAATCCTGGACACAGAGTGACAAGCTAGCCTTCCCAGCCCTGGATAGTACTTTGAGAGAACGTCATGTCCTTGGCCCTGATACCCCTTCTGCTGGGAAGCAGCATATTTCCCATTCTCTAGCTCTCCTCCACCCCCCACCCCCCCAGCATCAATTTTAATAATTACACAGGAAGTTCCCTTTCCTTAAGAAAAGATGGCCGTAGCAGTTTTCATCTGGGTGTTGACCTTTTTTTTTTTTTCTTATTCGCACCCCCAAGAGTTATGACACAAAAGGAATGAGTCACATCTTTGAGGTAGTGACTGTGCTGGAAGGCCACAGTAGACAGTTCTGAAGTTCAAGTACAGGGCTGGGCTTCACAACGGCCTCTGAGCAAGCCCCTTAATCTCTCAACTGAGTTTTGTGGGGAATTTGGGAAAGAGATACTGGAGAGCAGGGCCATTTCCTTAATGGCAGTGCCCTTGGAGAGTGACTTGGTAGAAAAAGGGTTAAAGAAACTAGAGTGAGAAAGAAGTGTATGCCATGCCCACCAGATTCTACAGCTTTGCCCACGATGTTGGTCAAAGATTGAGTTTACTGATTTTTAAGAACGCAGTTGGAAACAACAGGCTCACAAATGTGGCATCAATCTAAAGCAGAATTCGAAAATGGCTTAACAAATAGTCTGTGGTAATTAAAAGGCAACTGTGAGCAACAGTTTTTTTTTTTTAAAGGCAGACTTATTTCAAAACAGCTGGAAGACAGGATTTGAAGTGTTCTTATAACAAATAAATATTTTGGGTGATAAACATGTTAATTGCTCTTATTTGGTTACTATACACTATATAAGTTCACTGAAAAACCACACCGAATTCCCTAAGTATACACAGTTATTGTGAGAATTGAAATTCCAAAAGAACTGAAGAATACAACAGCACAAACTCCACTTTCCCACAGCAGATAATAATGCTCCATGCAGACTTAATGTTTCCCCTAAAATACCTGGGCCCCGGGCTTAGAGCCTCTGCATCTGGACTCCACAACATGTTAGGTTCATACCTTCATATACTGAGACTTTCCAGTGCTTTTTCTATTTCTACATTACTCACCTGCAAAATGCTACATATCTTCCATGTCTCAAAGTCCTCATGAAGTTCCGATGAGGATATGGGTGCCCAGAATGTGACATAGTGTTTGGTGTGAATTATGTACAGGCTGATAGTTCCTATCATTACTGACCTTTTTGCTTCTTCTGTCGTGTGCACACGTGTCTGTTTTCCCCCAGGGGAATGTGAACACCTTATAGCTTTTAGGCGGGCTTCATGTTTGTGGGGCTTATAGTGGTCTGACTCCGGCATTCTTCCTCTCTGTTGGGATCCCAGTGTGACCTGAGAAACACCTGTATTGGAGTCACCTGGGGAACTTACTGACATGTCATTTGCAGAGCACTGGCCCAGAACCTCTGAGTCAGATGTTGGCTGTCAGCTCTGATTCCTGCCTGGCCCCTTCTCTCTCTCAGCTCTGCTTGGCAGCACTGCAGACTGTGTGAAGTGTTTTCTACGTGCTGTGAAGTCTCCATCCCTGGGAAAACCAGGACATTTGGAGGCGGGAAGTGGGTGGAAATGGATCAATTAGCATAGAGTCTTTGCTTGAACTTTACCCTGGCTTTATGGAGCTTGGAGACACAGGGAAGGTTGCATTCCTCCCTGTGGAGCTGTTTAATTCATCCCCACTCTCTCAGGTCATGCTTTTGGCTCATTCCAGCTACTTAGCTCAGTGATATTTGCTTCCAGACCGGATGGGCGACCGGAGCTGTCAATGGAAAGGTATATTAGCTTTTAACCCAAGCCAGGTGAGCATTCCCATGGTTGCTCAACATTCAGACCTAAAAACCTAACAGTTCCTTGGTGAAGTCCTAGCTTGATATCATGTTCATGCTCCTGGTTTTGCTCTCCTCTGTGACCATACTGTAATGGCAACAAGCACAAGATGTACTCCATACAGATCAAAGAGCCGAGTTCGGGACTGGACGTTTACTTCAATTCTAAGTTGTGTGTTTTGTACACACAACAGCACCCAAACTAATAGCAATGACAAAAGCAGAATACCCAAAACAAACAAGAACAATAACAACAAAACAAAGAAACAATCTGAAACCAAAACCAACCAAACAAAAGTCATACAAAGGAAACAAAAATGAATGTAAATTCAAATCCCAATTTGGAAATTTAGTTCTATTACTTTTTTTTTTTCTAAGGGTTTTCAAGACAGGGTTTCTTTGTGTAGCCCTGGCTGTCCTGGAACTCACTCTGTAGATCAGGCTGGCCTTGAACTCAGAAATCCGCCTGCCTCTGCCTCCCAAGTGCTGGGATTAAAGGCGTGCACCACCACTGCCCAGCTCTGTTACTTTTTTTAACAGTAGTTTTATGGATTCTCCTTTATCTATCTGCAAAGCAGTGTGTTTATTTGGCTGCCGGAATGGCCCCAAGGATTACCTATCCCTGTTATCTTCTGCGGGCCCCAATCATACACTCAGACTTTGCTCACTGCGATGTTAGAAGACATTTTGCCAGATGAGCTTTGAAAAAAGAACTTCCAACTCTCTCTTCCATCACCCAAAATGGGCTGTATCTGGGACGACCCTTCAGTTCTAAAACTGAGATCAATGAAGCAGAATACAGCCAGGGCATTCTATCTCAGTTGACAGCAGCCTAGACCAGACCTCTGAGTGAGCCTAGTAAAAGCCCATGCAAGCTGTCTGTCTGACTGCCTTGATGTGTGAACACCAACCTAGTGTTCATGCCGCGGAGGTTTGGTCATTAGAATAGTTTCAGTCATCTATATATAATGGGGACCTCGGTGATACCTCATGAACTTTACAAGGACAGGAGCTGAATAGTATCACACAAATTACCTGGTCCATTAAAGTCCTATAAGGGACCCCCTGAATATCTGTGTGGCACATCATCCATCCACTATGTCTGGGGTACCTGTAATCTCCATTACAACAATTCCCTATCCACCTTCAATCAAGCACATACTGGTAAAGATATTATTTTCTGGACAGAGATCATGAGAAATAGCGAGGAGGTATGGAGAAGCTAGGTTCTCATTTGCTATATGAAGCTGAAGGGTGTCTGAGTCTTATGTGACCCACTGATTAATTAGGTCTCCATATGAAGGCATGCTCATTATATGACTCAGGGGTATCCAGTCTGCTGCAGGCATCTCTTTGTGAATGCAGCATGGAGCTACAGAATTACTTGGGGTACCTGCTCTCTGCCAACATACCTTATTCCTTCTCATTTGACTCAGTGGGAAGAAATCGTTTTCCTGAGTCTTGAGGAGGAAAAATAACGGCTCAGAGATGTTAAATGAGTGACCATAAGTGACAGCTAAGAAAGTAGCAACATGAGCATTTAGGTCCAGTGCTGCCTGACAGCAAAGCACAAATAGATTTTACGCAGGAAGAAATCCCACCTGGTGGACAGATGTCACTGCTGAATGTGACTAGGTTACCTATAGCACTTTGTATGATGGCCGAGACCTCATGGACCACTGGGTGCCACTGGGTACCACTGAAAGACTTGGATAGTCAACCTCAAGTGCATTATGAGTTTGCAGACCTTCGTGTGAACACTAGAAAAGCATGCTCTCCCGCAACCAAGGCACCGTGTGCTCTCACCTAAGGGAAGCCAAACAAAACTGAAAAGTGTCTTATGTGCCAGGACGAGGCACAAGAGCTGTTTCAAGGTTGGCATGCCCAGCCCACCTCAAAAGAGCAGAAGAGAAAAGCCCCCACCCCAGCCACCTGCTCCTGACTTCTTCCTCCTGTCTGCCACTTCAGAGTAGGATGGAGAGAGCGCCAAAGACATTCTTAGGCTTCCGTTCTTGCTGGCACAGTGGCCAGGAAGGAACCCTGCTTGGCTGGCTGCCTTGGGCACCTGCCACCATCGTGTGTTTGTTTGATGGGTCATGGGGAGGAAGCAAAATGCTTCTGTTAGGCCTTGGGGATTTCAGACCCTAGCAAGCAGCTACTGGGACAGACACACTCAGGGACTATCTCATCCCTTCTGTGTACCTCTTTCTCCCAGCTACCTGATCAGCAGACGATAGTTCCACCACCTGCTCCCAGTGACTGAAGGATGAAGGCAGGAGACATGAGTGATGTACACAGAACAGACACCATGTTTCAGTCTTTCAACCCTAATGACGGAGCCCCCATGCCCAGCTCCCACTGAGGCACACTCAGCAATCTTCTTCCCATGTAGAATCTCACACCATTCCCATATCCTTTCAATCAGATCAGATCCGGGGGACGTCTTGGAAAGCTGGGCCTGCTGGCGCACACCTGTCATTCCGATATCCAGGGAAGCTAAGGTGAGGAGACCGAGGTTCAAAACTAGCCCAGGGGAACATGGTGAGACCCTGTTTCCAAAATAATATCATATTTTAGAATTTGGCTGAGGGCCTCAGATATGACTTTGCCTGCTTTTGTATAGACATTATTTATGCATCTCTGGTTGGCCTGTTCTTGCTATGTGACTTTGAACTTACGATGTACCTGTCTTCCCTTTCCAGGTGCTGTAATGATAGGTGGTTTGCCACCACACATGCTCTTTTCTGGAACTTTTAAGTTTTCATTTTTATTTATTTATTTATTTTTTGAGCGTGCTACTAGGGATTAAATCTAGGATTTCAGACATGCAAGGCAAACACTCTGCCAATGAAACTGCCACCACGGTCCCATGAGTAACTGGAACACACCCAGAGTCTCAGTGTAGTTCCCTTCCTGTCTCAACCAGGCACAGAGCTACTTAAGACGTATCTCTTAGGCAGGAGGGTTTTATCCTTGATAGAGCAACAGGGCAGTAATTAACGTGCTGAGTGCCGACGGCTGGCAAGCTTTTGCTCTTACGTGGGCCTATGAATGCATGAATGGCACATAGTCAATATCCTACTTTACAGGCTGGGCAACCAAAGCTCAGAGGCTGGAGCCAGTTACCCAGTGCCTTACAAGAAGGCCCAGGGAAGGAAAGGAATGTCATTCTCCACATTTAAAGCCTAGCTTCATTTCTGGTTCTTTTGTTGAAAACAGTGTAGGAAACCTGACATGACTCCTATCCACGTAGCCTGCACTCAGAGAGGCTCTGCTGGCCCATGTCTCCTGGAGTCTCTCAAACTGCCCTAGTTTCACAGAGGTGGTGTGACCATCTTTAGTCCTACATCAAGCCAGGAGTAGAGGATGAGCTCCAACTTCTGTCTCTATCTCTGTGGGTTTTCCTATTCTACCATCCGCTTCATTCTGAGGCCTGATGTACCAGGACAGGCTGTGGAGGGAAAGGAACACCCCTTACCTCCACCTGGGCCAGGTGGGCACCAGGAGCTGGCAGCCCTCCGCAGTTCAGGTCTAAGACTTTGGAAGTTCCATGGCCAACTTCTTTCCTCTAGCCTCCTCCGTCTCTGGCTAGAACCTGGGAATGCTGGATAGAGAGAAGGTCCTGGCAGATCCTCTGCACACGTCCCTCATTTGCATCCCATGAAGGTGCTCTAGGTCTATGCGTAGTCCTGTCTCTGTACCAAGGAGGGGCTGATATGGCTGCAGATGGATCCAGATCCTCCTTGCTCTGTGCTCTGTAGCTGGCTTCTTGTCTTCTTGTCACTGGCCCCCTATCTCTGCTCTCCTTCATTCATTCCTTTGAGCTCTCTTAATAGCTATTGTATGGTTCCCTTAAACCCACCAGTGTGGTTCCCAATCCCAAGAAGGAACTAAAAACTCCAGAGCCAGAGGCCAGGTTATCAATTTGGGCTTATTTGGGTTTTTTTAAGGTTTATTTTTAACTATATGAAATGTTTTACATGTATGTATGTATGTATGTATGTATGTATGTATGTATACTGTATGCATGCCTAGTTACCATGGAAGTCAGAAGAGAATGGTGTATCTCCTGGAACTGGAGTTAAACATGGTAGCAAGGCACCATGGAGGCACCAGAACCTGAACCTTAGTCCTCTGCAAAACAAACATGCGCTTTTACTTGCTGAGCCGTCTCTCCATTCCCCGTAATGTAGGTCTAAGTGACTTGAATCTGGGTTCTAATAGTCTTGTACCATCTGTTTCACGTGACTCCTGCTTCCCATATTGTGACTCTGTAACAGTGGCGGTGGCACTCTCCAGGTGGGAGTTAGGACATACTAGAACCAATGCTTCACCGTTCATAGCTCCTCCCCATGAAGCAATCAGCTCCTTCCATACCTGGAAATGAACTCCTTGGGTGATGGAGTCTGCTGTTAGAGGAACACTTGGCCTCAGACGGAAGTCCTCACTTGTAACATCTTACCTGCCAATACCTGATGCTCTTAGTATCCCTACTACTGTACTTACTGCTCTTAAGGGTAAGTCACTTGCAGGGTCACATCCTATGGTAGTACCAGGAGGGGAGATATTTTGTCTAACTCCTGTGTCATGGAACATGACTCTAGCTTGTTCTTATCCTATCTGGTCCTGATAGGGATGTCTGAGGGGAGCTAACCCTGCAGGGCCCTGGGTTCTCCTATGGCTGGTGTAGAAGTCAAGAAGGATGGAAAAAGACCTATGTGAGAGAATTTCTGGACTGTACAAGATACCTGAAGGAGTTCCTTCAAACAGGTTTGCTCTTACACTAAGCATGTAGCTCAGCTGGTGAAGTGATTCATTCATAAAGCCTTGGATTTGATCCCTAGCACTAGGTAAACCCTGGGGATATCACATGACTATAAGCCCAGAACTCAGGAGGTAGAGGGAGAAGGATCAGAAATTCCAGGTCATCCTTTGCTACGTAGTGAGTTCAAGTCAACTTTGGGTTACCAGAGGCACTGTTTAAAACCAAACAAATAAGCGACTGGAGAGATGGCTCTGTGGTTAAGAGCACCGACTGCTTTTCTAGAAGTCCTGAGTTCAATTCCCAGCAACCATAGGGTGGCTTACAACCATCCGTAATGGGATCTGATGCCCTCTTCTGGTATGACTGAAGACAGTGACAGTGTAAATAAAAGTAAAACGAAATAGATATCACACCCCTAAACCCCAAGGGGGGGGGGGAAGATTAAAAAAAAAAAAGGGAAACAGAACAAGAAAGGTTTGGTCTCTGCTGACTTCTACCTACCAGGCCCCTCACTACTTTCTCAACAGCTATGGCCTCCTGTTTGCATTCTGTCTCCCTCCTGTGGGCAGAATGCCCAATGCAAATAGCACCTTGTTACCTGCCCCCTCTGCCCCCAGCTCTTGCTTTGTGACTCCTGTTTCCCTGCCTTTTGTCCCCGCCATGGACTTCTGCCAGCTTAACCCACAGTGGCCTCCCTTTGTTTAGGCATCTCAGTTTCAGGCAGACTTAGCCAGCCTCTTCATTCACCCTTTAGAAGTCTTGACAGGCAGCCAACCAAGCTGGCCAATCATGCGAGGTTGGATAGCTGTACCAGGGCTCTGGTGGCTACTTCCTGTCTTGGTGGCTTCCCACACCTGGATACCCTGAGGCCCAGTTACACTGGGGCAGAAATGCCCAGATATTCACCTCAACTGGTATGAACATACAATTTGGAGCTGCTGGCTCATTCTGTCCCCATAGTCCTGATCCTTTCTCCGGCCTTTACTTCTTCTATGAGTAAACCATTTCCCAAGCCATTCAGTCCACAACCTGTCCCCACCAAGGGTCTCTAGCAGCAGGAATGTAATGACCTGGCTGGGTTCTGTGATGGTGAGGAGAAGCAGGGTACTACTCAGAGAGTGCAGGCTGTGGCTGCACCTTGCTCTCCCACGCTATCACTGGGACCTACCTGCTTCATGCCTCAGTTTCCTCTTCTGCACATGGATATCTACCCCATATATTGACAGCAGGGAAGGGCAAGGAAGTACTATGAGCTAGTCTGGTATAAGTGTTCTACGAAGAACAAGTGTAGACAGTGTTGTTCTATGTGAGTTATCATCCTAGGTGTTGAGTGGCGTATCATCATGTAGAAATGGTCAAGCAGATAGGAGGCCGTACAGAAGCTTTGCTGCCCTCTCTAGCTCCCTTGTCATGCTCCACAGTCACAGGTCCATCTGAGAAAAAGAGGTAGAACTTCCATTCTTACCATGTAACCTAAAAAAGCAGCAAATACACGGACTATAAATTAGGAAATTAGGAAATTCAGACAAGCAAGAAGAAAACTTTTAAAAAGCTATTCTGCTAGTATATGTAGTCACAGGCACAAAGACACACCCATGCACTAGTGGAAGAGCAGTGTGTGTGTGTGTGTGTGTGTGTGTGATCATTTGTGTTTTTATTGTTGCTTCAGACACGTATATCACTCATTGAACAACAGTCTTATTTCATGTGATGTGGATCTTGTATATGAAATGTTTCCTATGTGTCTATAAAAAGTAAGAAGTGAGCTGTGTTTGTTACAGCCAATTTTGCCCTTTGACCTTAGGTAATCTTTATTCTCATCTATAAATATTTCTATGGGGAAAATGTGACAGCCAATAGACCTTCCTTAACCATCTAACTGATGAAGAAGGTGCTGCGATGTAAATCTTCAAGATTTTCAGGGTGAATAGAGGCATAGCTGACACCCAGAATTTCTCCGTGAAGGTCTTTGGGGTTCCTAGAGGCAGAGGCAGATTTAACAAGTATCTGCATTCTGTGAGAACAGGGGTCCCTGTTCCCTCACCTGACACTTAATGCAAGTGGGTGTTCGTTACTTTTCTATTATTGTGATAAAATACCATTACTAAAGCAACTTATAGAGGGAAAAATGTATTTGGGCTTATGGTTCTAGGGGGTTAGAGTCCGTGATGGCAGAGCAAAGGCAGAGGCTGAGGCAGGATATGAGGGCTCACATTTCGATCTGCAAAGACAAAGAAAAGGAGCTGGGGCACTAGAAATGACTCAGGTCCTTTTACTCTCAAAGCTTACTAATGGCACACTTCCTCCAAAAAACAAAACCTCATAAATCTCCCCAAAGTGCACCAGGAGACCAAGCATTCAAATGCCTCAGGTCATGGGGAACATTTCTCATTCAAGCTATCAGAGATGTTACATGTCCTTTCCTGTTTCTTGCACAGTTCTTCATTTAGTACGATGCAGCCCCTCACTAGTGTATGCTTCAGTGATGGTTATCTTAGAATCCCTTGGTCCCAGCCTGCCCTGGACTAAGTGTGGTACTCGTGAGCTTGGGCTGTGGAAGGAGGCTGCACCCTCCATTCGGACCCATTTGATCTCATTTGTCCCAGTCAGAGGTTAAGTTTCTTTGACCCATCACATTGGCAGTGATCTGTCTGCCACTGTTGGTTTGGGAGTTG